TTGAAAGACTCAAAAGAGGTTGGGGTTTAGAGTTCAGTTAGAGGAATTGTTATAGCTGAAAATGTGGCTGTCGACTTGGCAATGCCAACCATCTTCACTATGCCTACTTGTATTATACATAGGTAGATTCCTTAAGGTTTATTCATCTCAGGACCTGAAGGACTAGGATGTGTCCCTATTAGCATATCCAAAATTTAGTGACTTAGAGATAATCTAATAATCTCTGATAATTCTGAAAAATGAAGAATTCAATGTCCAGAATCAATTAATTTGTAACAGAGACAGTCACCTACAAGCTAAGCCTTTATCAGAGGCCCCCTGACTTCCCCATCTAGGATTTTTTTGGTGTGTTTTTCAGGGTTGAAACAGGATGGGGATACACTTACTATGTACCCACAATTTTTTTTAATTAAAAAAAAAGAAAAGGGATGAGGGATGAGGATGAAGGAAGAGAGAAGTGAAATTTTGGCAGTGTAGGACATAAGGAATCACTTAGTAAAGATACAGAGTAAGAGTCAGTAGTACCTTGGTGATATGGTTAGGCTTTGTGTCCCCACCCAAGTCTAATCTTGAATTGTAATCTCCACATGTTGAGGGAGGGAAGTGATTGGATTCTGGGGGTGGTGTCCCCCATGCTGTTCTCGTGATAGTCAATTTTCATGAGATCTGATGGTTTTATAAGTGTTTGACAGTACCTCCTATGCACACATTCTCTTCTTTCTCCTGCCACCATGTAAAGAAGGTTCTTACTTCTCCTTTGCTTTCCACCATGATTGTAAGTTGCCTGAGGCCTCCCCAGCCATGTGGAACTGTGAGTCAATTAAAGCTCTTTTCTTTATAAATTACCCAGTCTCAGGTAGTTGTTTATAGCACTGTGAAAATGGACTAATATACTTGGTGTACAAAACTGGTATAGAATCAAGTTACATGTTGGAGAATACCAGGAAGAAGCATCTGAAAGGGCAACTGGAGTGTCAGAACCAGGTTAAGAGCAGGCTCTGTGGTGCAATGGATAGTGCATTGGACTTTAGCCTAGATTGAAAGAACCAGGTTAAGCTCAGCAACTAATGCTGATGCTTTCACTGGTTAGGCCTATAGATGGAATTGGTGAAGTTGAGGGTATACCACACTAATTTTTAATTTTTCTAATTCTGAAACCCAAGCTCACCTGATTGTGGCAGTGGGGAATGTCCAAAATCTGTAGGATAGGGCAGGCTGGCAGACTGGCAACTCAGGCTAATGCTGCTGTTTTGGGAATGAATTTTTTCTCTGGTAAGCCTGTTTTTGCTTGTAAGGACTTAAGCTGATTGGATGAAGTGCACTCACATTATTGAAGACAATTTCCTTTTTTAAAGTCAATTAATTGTAGTTGTTACCACATCTACAAAATATCATCACAACATCACCCTAGATTAGTGTTTGATTAAATAACAGGATACCATGGCCTAGCCAAGTTGACACACACAGCTAATCATCACAGCAGGAAGGAAAAGTAGGATCCCTGGCAACTGAAGGTAAGGTAGAGTCAGCGCACTGCCATGAGTGCAAGTAGGCAATCAGAACCCAGAAACCCATAAAAATGGAAGGCACATAACCAATGATTAGATAAAAGCCACAGATCCTAGGAATCCCCTAAATTTGAGACAAACTATGACATAGGTTTGGTCTTTGTTTTTAAAAAATAGGTGTGATTCAACAGCAAAATACTCTGAAGAAGGAACTGGTGGCATTTCACTTCCGAGATATCACTAACTAAAAGAATCGTACATAAGTGACGAAGTCCCTTTGGTGGTCCTCTGACCTTATCTGCAAAATCTGAACATCTGATGAGAATAATGACAAAATGTTTGCAGAAAAGAATTTGAATGTAAAGTGTTTAGACTGCCCTGAGCTACATATCAAATCACTAAGAGGGATATTTATTTGTTTGTTTGTTTGTTTATTTATTTATTTTGAGACAGTCTCACTCTGTTGCCCAGGCTGGAATGCAGTGGCATGATCTTGGATCACCACAACCTCCGCTTTCCAGGTGCCAGCGGTTCTCAAGCTTCAGCCTCCCAAGTACCTGGGATTAGAGGCACGTGCCACCATGGGCCTGGCTAATTTTTGTATTTTTAGTAGAGATGGGGTTTCACCATGTTGGCCAGGCTGGTCTCGAACTCCTGACTCCATGTGATCTGCCTGTCTCAGCCTTCTAAAGTGCTGGGGTTACAGGTGTGAGCCACAATGCATGGCTAATTTTTGTATTTTTAGCAGACATCGGGTTTCACCATGTTGGCAAGGCTGGTCTCGAACTCCTGACCCAGGTGATCCTCCCGTCTCAGCCTTCCAAAGTGCTGGGATTACAGGTGTGAGCCACCATGCCTGGCTGGGATATTTTAAAAATACTGCTGCCTTAGTCAAAACTACATAAGATCATTAAACTGAAGTGGAGCCTGGGCTTCAGAATTAGAAAAATAAAAAATTAAAAAGAAAGAAAAAAAAACCCCAAACTTCTCTGAGTACGTCTAAGTTCATCCAGTGTAGAGAGTCAGGTGCCCACATTATTCAAATGTTTTTTTATTATGATTTTTAAACACATGATACTCCATGTGGTTCCCGGAAAGAAATCTGCAAGAACCTGGATTTGGTTGTCTTTATGGCATCTTTTAGTTCTAAAATGAATTCCTTCTGTATCAACAACTAATGCTGATGCTTTTGCTGGTTAGGGATATAGGTGGAATTGGTGAAGTGGGGGATCTACTGAATCAAGGGAGTGATGGAAAAGACGAGCACAAACCCATAATGCCAGAAAGGAAAAGTGGCTCTCGTGCTGCCGATTTATTTTTTATTTATTTTTATTTTTTCATTTTTTTATATTTTTGAGACAGGGTCTCACTCTTGTTGCCCAGGCTGGAGTGTAGTGGCATCATCTCGATTTCCTGGCCTCATGTGATCATCCCACCTCAGCCTCCTGAGTAGCTGGTACTATAGGCATGTGCCACCACACCTGGCCAATTTTTTGAATTTTTAATAGAGACGGGATTTTGCCTTGTTGCCCAGGCTGGTCTCCAATTCCTGGACTCAAGCAATCCTCCCGCCTCAGACACCCAAGGTGTTGGGATTACAGGTGTGAGCCACCACAACTGGCTATTTTTTATTTTTTGTTACAGGGCCTCACTCTGTCTCTCAGGCTGGAGTTCAGTGGCATGATCATGTGGCAGGCCAGGTCTCACAAACAGGCAGGCCTCCATAACAACTGTTTCAGCACTGACTGAATGGTTAGGTTAAATATTAAAGACTGAGAGAGCCACTGACTGCCCTTACACAAAAGCTGAAACTAGTAACAAAAGCCCACCAAGATTCTTGCCCAGGTCTTCCCTGGCCTTGAAGCATGAGAAGATAATGAAGGAATACTCACACTCCTTGTGACAAGACAGTCGTCAGGAGATTCTCAGCAGCTGCCGGGTGAGGTTTTCCTGGGGACTCTCCTGAGGGCTATCCCATGCGCAAAACCACACGTCCCTCTCCCTACTGGGAATAACGGAGATCAGCGTGGACATGCTCAAAGGGTAAAACCAGATTGTATACCAGGAGCCTATTATTTTCCTATCTGGGTTTGTTAAGCCATTTGCCTGGTACTGCCAATAGGGCTCACTTATATATCCACTTTGCATTTGGTTAAGATCAGTTTTGAGTGGGTTTTGAATCTGTTCTGCCTGAGTGTACCCACTCCCTCTCCCTCTTGTCTTTGTCTGAAATCTGTCTCTGCTTGTTTGTGTATCTGTCATGGCTCACTGCAGCCTCAAACTCTGGCCTCAAGGGATCCTCACACCTCAACCTCCCCAGTAGCTGGGACTATTGGCATGTGCCACCATGCCTGGCTAATTGTTGTTGTTGTTGTAGAGACAGATTCTCCCTATGTTGCCCCGGCTGGTCTCAAATTCCTGGACTCAAGCAATCCTCTTCCCCATGATTTTCAGAAATAGTGTGTAAATCCCATGTTTCAGACATGTTTAGTTAGAGTAGTGACACAGTCATTGTATTTATATTGGAATGCATTCTTTTCATATTTTTTTTCTCACTGCTTTTAGGGTTGGAAGAGTTTAGTTAGAGTAGTGTTTTCCAAAGGGTGTACTGCAGTCTACAGGATTCTGAAATCTTTTCATTAGAGAAGAGTACTCAAGCTTTATTTAATCAAGGGGGTTATCATAGAACTCATGTTCCATGGAATCACACTTTGAGAATGACTGCCTTAGAGTCACTGAAAGTAGAAGAGCTTAGCATCCACTATTTGCTAAAATTCTCTTTGGCCAACACAATTATTAATTTAGCTTCTTTCATCACAAAACTGTAACCCCTTTTCAGCATGGAGTACACTTGCTAGGATGCACCAGTCTAGATAAATAAGAAAATAGTGAATTTAAGTTGATTAGTGAAAATTGCTTGGATTTGGGGAGTTAGAAGTCTTGGGTATCAGTTCTAGTTCTGGCACTGAGTAAATAAGTAAAACTTTGAGCAATAAGTCATATATAATAATTTAAATAATCAGAGCCTTAATGTGCTCACCTAAAAACAAGAATAAAATGTTTATAAGGGATATTGTTAAGGTTGACTTGAGCTAATGTGTATACAAACTTGTCATATTGTGAACACTGTAAAAAGCAAGGCATAATTATCACAGAGCTATGTACTTTATATTGGTTCAGTAGGGTTTCAGAATTTCTACTATAGTCAAAGTACATTTTGCTATATTGATTTTCAACTGCTATGAAGTTTATAGAAAACCAGAAAGTCTAAAATTTCTGTGACAAGGCTTTTTGTTTGGGGTTATTTTTAAAGAAAACAGAAGATCAGATTGTATTAAAATTTGATGATTGCATTATTCTTGTTATATATGTCTTGACTAGTATTTAGTAAAAGTTATAAGGAAAAAAGGAGCAGTTGTCTGCAATATACTAGAAATGAACTTGAATCTTTTCACACTATTGTTATTACATTTTTCCTCTCTCCAGATTGCCCAATCACTGAAGAGCTGTGATGTTCCTAAACAGTTAAAAGTCAAGCACAGCTATGTAACTCATACAGTTTATCTTTGCCAGACTAGACGAAAGAAGGAGCACTACTGCATTCTGATAAAACAGGTCTATGCAGCTACCAGGATAATGGAATCTATGTTGACTTTAGCAACAGAACAACCTGTTAAGAAGAACACTCTTAAGAAATATAAAATAGCTTGCATTGTAAGTACAATTCTTATTTTCAGTCTTTCCAGTTTTGTGACAAATGTTAAAAGTATGATTTCCCATTTACATTGCTTTGTGTTGCTATTAAAATGTAAACTTTTAAGTAACTGTATTAAGTATTATCCCTTATGAAAACTCTAATGCAAATTAATATCTTAAATCATATTTTACAAGAAATTTGAGTAACAACAAGTTAACATTTCATTAATCTCAAAAGTTGGAATCCGTAACAGAATGCTTTGTGATACTGATTTTTTGCATGATTATAACTACCTCTCAATCACTTTTTTATGGCATGAGTATTTTAAGACAAGAAAGTGAAAAATTAAAATAATCATATCCTATTATTTACTGAACCAACAATTTTATCCTATTTTACTTCACTCCTAGAGATAGTCTCTTTTGCCTGTTTTCTCTTTCTTGTCCTTTCATGTGGTAAGATCTCCTGCCACCACTCCTCAGCCCCCCAAAAACATTTCCTTGATTTTTTCTTTTTTCTTTTTCTTAATTTAAATTTTTTTCTCTTTTTCCTTTTACTCCAGAAATATACTTATCCATTTCCTTGATTTTATTACTCTCTCTTTTCCCTTCACCATCAAACTTTTGGGGAAAAGAGAGCTCATTTCATTGCTTCAATTTTCTCAGCCCCCAACCATTCCTTCATGCTCCGGCTTTGTTTCTACTGTACTAAGTCCCCGACTCAAAAGTCAGTCCTCCTCATCCTTTGTCCACTTGAATGTTCGTAACAACAATAACTGCCTGGTACTTTCTCATTCTGAATTATTCTCTCCCCTTGCTTCCACCATGACACTGACATTTTCATTTTTGTGACTTTTTCTTTTTCTGCATTCTTAACCAGCAATTTCTCTATTCTCATGAAAATTACAACACAAGCTTCACTAAACCCTATCTAAGATCTCTTAAGAAATCTCATGTTCTCTAATAGTCTTTTTAATTTTTATTTTATTTTTGAGATAAGGTCTCCCTCCGTTGAGATCTCAACTCACTGCAACCTCTGTTTCCCAGCTCAGGTGATCCTCCTGCCTCAGCCTCCTGAGTACATGCTACAAGGCTCAGCTAAGTTTTTGTGAGTTTTCTTTTACTTTTTCTTTTCTTTTTTTTTTTTTTTTTTTTTTTTTTTTTTTTGTTTTTTTTTTTTTTTGTGGAGACTGGGTTTCACCATGTTTCCCAGGCTGGTCTCAAACTTCTGGATCAAGTGATCCACCTGCCTTGGCCTCCCAAAGTGCTGGGACTAAAGGAATGAACCACTGCACCTGGCCTCTAGTGGTTTTAAGAGTCATATCCCCAGCCAAGAATTCCAAGTAATCCACTAGCTCCAACTTTTTGCCCAGTCTCTGTCACACAATTTCTTTAAAAGATGTTATTATTTTGTTAATATGTATATTTTTAGAGACTGGGTCTCGCTATGTTGCCCAGGCTGGTCCTGAACCCTGGGCTCAAGCGATCCTCCCACTCAGCCTCTTGCGTAGCTGGGGACTATGCGTGTGCCCCAGTGCACTAGCCTGTTTCAAATGCCTGCTTCCTGACTCCTGACTCAGTACCTTATACCAAAACTAATTGCATTATTTTTTCACACCTATCTTGCTGCAGTTTTTCCCTGTATCCCACACTTTAAGGTCACCACTATTCTCTGTCTCTCCAGAATTGTTTCAAGAAGTAAATAAAACAACGTAAAATAATGTGTGTAAGTATTAAGCCCAGTAACAAAATAAATCCTGAATATATTCCATTTATTCTTTATCCTTCTGGGAATTTCAATTTCAGAGTATTCTTTACAGCTCTTATGCTAATATATATATATATTTTGTTTGTTTGTTTTTTTGGAGACACATTGTTTCTCTGTTGCCCAGGCTGGAAGACAGTGGCATGTTCATAGCTCACTGTAGCAACTCGGGCTCCAACTTGGGCTCAAATGATCTTCCCATCTCTGCCTTCTGAGTAGCTGGGACTTTAAGCATGTTTATTATATTTATCCTAGCTTATCAGTTCAGGAAATTATAAAATCTTCCACAGCAAAATTTGTGCATCATTAATTTCCCTTCTTTGTATCTTTCTAGTGGTTTTTGAGTATATAATGAAGTTCAATATTTTTAAATCATTGTTTCAAAAGTACCCTGATGTCTTCAAACTTTTACTAAAGTTTCATTTAAACATTTTGAAGGTATCTGCTGTGTTTCTAGCACTCTTTGTTTAGCCCAGTTAAAGCCAAATGATGTGTTCTCAGTGGTTTTTGACGTTCAGAGTATTCTCCCCACTTTGTTCACCGCGTAACATCATTTTAGATATATGTGCACCCCAATATCATGAAGCTTTTTTGGAATTATATATTTATAGTAAATGATTATAAAGGCTTAAAAATAGACTTCTTAGGCACAGCACAGTGGCTAGTGCCTATAATCCCAGCACTTTAGGAGGCCAAGATAAGAGGATCGCTTGAGGCCAGGAGTTCCACAGCAGCCTGGTCAACATAGTGAGACCTCCAAGTCTAAAGAATAATAATAATAATAATAATAATAATAAATAAGCCTTTTACTCTCAAGGAGCTCACAGAATAATGTAGAAAACAAGCCACAAATATATGGAACAAATACAAAATCATGAAGAAACAGATTCTAACATTAAACATTGTGAAGTTTTAAAGAATCTTAAGAACAGCTAGATGTTGTTGATTTTTCTAGCAAGTTTGAACAGCCAAAGTACCAAAGATAAGGTGTAAACCAAAATATGTTAATTTGTAATTCTATGACGCATGAGGTTTAGCAGAAGGAGTTCCCCAATGTTGTTTTTCTGCTTTGTAGTAACTCTAGTTTCAGTCGCCTGTGTCTTCTAAGCACCATGACAAGGGATGAACTGCTAATGGTGTTATTTAGTAAATGTTTATGTTTATTTTTTCCCTCCATCCTCTCCACTGAGTGAATACATACTGAAAGGTCACTGACCCTTGGGCTAACTTTGAGACATCACGTAAGAATTGTTTTCTTAGTATTTTAACATAGCTTCCCCAATGGTTGAACTCACTTCCATTGTAAACATTAGATGTGTTAATTTTCCAGTTGACTTTCAGAATGAAATCAACCCTAAAAAAAAAAAAAATCGTGTAGTTCTTAATTACCTAAGCAAAATCTGATTTTTTCTTTTGTGAAAGTCTTTTGTGTGTGTGTCTGAAACTATAACAAAGGTTATTGTAAAATACTTTCCTAAGTAATTTGATTGTGTGTCCTTTTGCCATTCTTCATGACAACACACAGTATTCAAGCGCTGTCATCCAGCATACTTATCTCTGGACTCCATGTAAGATCAAAGAGGGCAGCTAGAAGAATTCTCTTTAATTGTATCAGAGTTTAATCTAATCATAGCATGAAGTTCGTTACACCAAAGGGCTTTGTCAGCAGAGTGATAATGAATGACACAAACAATCTTTGGTCAGGCAGTTTCCAAATTACCTAACTGGTTTGTATGAGTGGAAGACCAAAGCAGATCATTTGCCAGTTAACTATTTGGACAATATATTTTTATGCATGTTAAATATTATCATCATCCTGTGATAGAGTAGAAAAAAAAAAAGCCCTGCTCCCTTAGAATGAGGCAGTTAAGGATTTAATAATTCTGGAATTATTTTCAATAAATGATCTACAAATGGGTGCCTGGTTTAAAAAAAATGGCCCAGAAAAATGGTTTTATGGTTTTAATTCTTAACTTTAACTCAATTTGCAGTTAAGTTCATTGCATTTGAATGGTACATGTGTTTGAATTTGAAGATCTGTAATAATTGGTATCTTTACCAATTCTTCCAAAATATTCTTTCTTATTTTCAAGCATTAAATAAAATACTATACCTCTAGTTAGGCCAGACACTAGATCATTGTTGGATCTGGTATCTGGCATAACTAGCATGCTGCAGGTACTTAGAGAGAATACTGAGAAAGGGTGGTTATTTGTATCTGTGTAATTTTTTAAAACATTATAAAAGCTACTTTTTCTTTTTTGCAATAGGTTCTTCTTGCTTTGTTGGTGATCATGTCACTTGGATTAGGCCTGGGGCTTGGACTCAGGAAACCGGAAAAGCAAGGTATACCCCTCAGTCTTTTCTCTGAGCATTCCCTTATTTCTTCTCTCTTCAGGCCTTAATTCGTTAAAATGTATCTCCCATCCCAAGCCTCCTCTGTCCTCCATGCAGCATTCTGCTCCTAGACATCTCCCACTCTGCACTCTACTTATCTGGAGCCCACATCTGTGGTTGGCATTGCTCACTGTACTTTCTGGACTTTACTTTTTCACCCTGCTCATTTGAGATTCATTATCATTCCAGTGTGTTTTTCTCTTACCTTTCTCCACCCCCTTTTTTTTTTTTTTTTTTTTTTTTTGGCAGGGTCTTACTCTGCCTTTCAGGCTGGAGTGTAGTGGCACAATCTCGGCTCACTGCAGCTCCTCCCTGCCCTCAGGTGATCCTCCCATACTTGAGCTTCCCAAGTAGCTGGGACCACAGGTGGGTGCCACCACACCCAGCTAATTTTTGCAGTTTTGGTAGAGATGGGGCTTCACTATGTTGCCTAGGCTGGTCTCGAACTCCTGGGCTCAAGTGATCCAACCACTTCAGCTTCCCAAAATGATAGGATTACAGGTGTGAGTCGCCATGCCCAGCCCTTCTTCATCTTTATAATGGACTTTGGTAAGTGGATCACAGGCTTTTCATTCTGCTCCCACTGTCATTTTCAACATCTGATGACAAAGTATCTAGCCACTTAGTCTTGAAAGTCTTTGTTGCTTCATTCTCATGACCTCCTGCCACTACCCTGTACCTTGACACCATGCTAGAGCTGTTCTACCTTTAAAATCTCTTGGTTCTTGATTGGGCAGTGCCAAATTTTTGAAAAGTAGTGCATAATAATATCTTCAAAAAATTTGTTTCTCATAAGAAGCAAAGAAAAACAGGAGAAATATGTCCCCAAATATAAAAATACCTCACATTCCTTTTGCTGTATTTCATTATTATAAATAGTAAATGCACCACTTACAAATGACAATATAAAAAGAATTACCTATAATCTTTTTACATATTATTTTATTACTTTTACTAAGGTGAAGTAGAAGACCAGTTGCTAGATCATTCACGTCCCTCCTTTTCTGTTGTTTGTTTTTTGAGACAAGGTCTCACTTTGTTGCTCAGGCTGAGTGCAGTGGCGTGATCACGGCTTACCACAGCCTCGATCTCTTGGGCTCAAGTGATCCTCCCACCTCGGCCCCTCAAGTCCCTGGTATACAGGCATGCACTACCACACCTGGTTAATTTTTTATTTTTGTGTAGACATGGGGTCTCACTATGTTGTTCAGGCTGGTCTCAAACTCCTGGATGCAAATGATCCTCCCACCTTGGCTTCTTGAAGCATTGGGATTGCTGGTGTGAGACACTGTGCCCAGCACCCTCACCCATTTTTGTCTTCTTAAAAATTTTATGAGCAATAATCATGCCTCAAATAAACCTCATTGGCTACTATACTGCCACTGCACAAAGCTCTGGACCCCTTTTTAAATTTGACTAAAACCTTCTAATGTGACTCCAGTGGAGTAAGTCTCATTGGAAGCCTCAGTAAGGTTAACTGGCAATTTTCCAGTCATGTATCTACTTGAGAAATACTCAGTTTCCCTAATATGACCTAGGAGCACAGTAGAACTGAAAAGTTGAATAATTGCTGGAAGATTACTATCTTCCCTTGGTCACTTGGCTGTTGTGTTTCTGGGCCATGGTACCATTCCTTGATCAAAGAAATGTTGACAGGCCATTTCAGTGGTATTGTTTTGACGTTAGTACACACAAATGGGCATCATTTCTTGGCTATTTTACCCCCTAAATCACATAAATTGATTGCAAAAGGCATATCTAATGTCTGAACAAAACCTCCTTTTGTTCCAGCTCTTTCATTCACTTTAGTACACCCATTGGCTGGCTTCCCAGAGTCATTTTTCCTTGACCTCTTCCTTTCATCTGAGTTGATCAGCCCTGTGTGGCAGCACTCTCTTCCCTCTCCCCGGCAGGGCATTGGTAATTAACTCCAGCCTCTTTTTGCCAGCATCCTTAACATAGTCATCCTGTTTACTACTCATTTTTCCACTGTATCTATTCTCCTAAACCCCAACCCTCAGTCATTTTCACCATTTTCCACTCCAGTTAACTCACCTTCCGTAGGCATTATGCATTTTTTTTCTAATGTGAGTTTTAAAATCTGTGCATGTTCTTACAGATGTACTGTCATGACTACACATATTTTTTGATTGAACATTATATGCTTGGTATTATTACAATTACTGGAGATAAAGTGGTGAAGACAAGAGACAAAATCCTTCAAGGAGTTTATATTTTAGCATGCAAGACAGACAGTAAAAATATAAATAAAAAAAAATAATAAGATAAAGTGCTAAGAAATAAGTAAAGCCCAAAAGAAGGAATCAGGGTTGTGTGTGTGTGTGTGTGTGTATGAAATAATTTTTGAGTAATGACTGAAGGAAGTGAGACAGAAACATAGGGACTGTTGGGGAGAAACATTCCGGGTCAGAAGGACTATGAAGTGCAAAGACCAAAGGCAGGAGCTTGCCTGTCATGTTCCCTTTAAGGAATAATAAAGAGGCTATGAACTAGAACTAAAAACACTACAGAGAGGTGGTCATAAAATGAGACCTATTAAATAAAGAGGAGCCCGATCAAGTAAAGGTTAGTATGTCAAACCCTAGTCTTCAACTTTCATTCTGAGTGTGACAAGAACTGATTGCATGATTTGGGCAGAGGAATGATATGCTCTGGTTTGCTTTTTAATAGAATCCCTAGGGCTACTGTGTTATGAATAGATGGTAGAGTGAGAACAAAAGTAGAGAGACCAATCAGGAGATTATTCCAACAATCTGGGCAAGCCTTATGTCTTAAACCAGGGCAGTAGCATTGTAGCTGGTAAGAAGTATTTGGATTCTGGATCTATTTTGATGGGGTAGATAGATTTTATTGAAAGACTGGATTTGGAGTAAGAAAGAGAGGTCAAGAATGACCCCAGAATTTTTGCATGAACATCTGGAAATATAAATTTCCATAATTGAGTTGGGGCAGATTGTAGAAAGAGCTGATTTGGGGAGAAAAATCAGGGGCTCAGTTTTGGACCTGTTAAATTTGCTAATTCTATTGGACGTCCAAGTGCAGAAGTCAAGAATGTAGTTGGACATATGAGGCTGGTTTTAGAGGTGAAGTCCTGCCTGGGCATATACTGTGGTGCTTGTCAACATATGTGGGATTTAAACCATGACACTGGGGTAGAACAACCTTAAGGAATTGGGAAGGTGAAGGGGAAAAGCAAAGAAGACTAGGAAGGAGTAGCCAGGAATGTGAGAGGAAAGGCCAGGTGACTAATGTATTCTAGAAACCAAGTGCAGAAAGGTTTCGTAAGAGGAGAGTGTACGAAAAAATGTAAAGACCATCTATGTAAATGGTTGTGATATATCTAAATCTACATATTTTTTTTTCTAGTTTTTCATTGAGCACTTTTTGAGACCCATCAGAATTGTCATGCATACATCCGTTCTTATGCTTCTACTGTGTGCTACTTTTTGGCATGTACCCAACTTGCCAACCAACCTATGCTCTCTCCTGGTGCTGAATACCCAAATTGGCTTTAGTTCCTCACCACCACATAAATACTGCAGGTTCCCTTATAAACCTGTATGATAAGTACTTTGCCATAGACCAAGGAATGAAGTTTCAGGAAGTTAGGGTTTTTATCTTCTTAACTCAGGTATGTAGTCCCAGGTTGCTTTCTAGAATGGCTGCTTCAGCCTACCCTACCTTCCTTTACCTCACCTCTCCACCAGCCATTGCCATTATTCAGCTTTCTAATTTTTGGCAATGTGAAGTTGGGTATGGAATAAAGTCTTTCATTTTAGTGTCTATTTCTCTGTCCTGTTGTTCTAATCCATGTTGGTTGTTCTCTTGGTCTGGTGGATGGTTGAGATTTCCATTAGCCCATCTATTGTGTTAGATCCCATGATTTTAAAATCTCTTTCTTCTTGTTTCATTTTCTCATCTTGCTAAAGAACAACCTGATAGCTTTCTAAAATAGGATGCCTGAGAGAGATAACTTGAGTCTTTGCCTATGTAAAGACATATCATTCTAACCTAACACTTGACAGTTTGGCTAGGTATTTCTAAGATGGAAATAATTTGTTTTTCTAGAAATCTGAAGGTATTACTTTACTGTCTTATAGCATCCAGTGTTGCTTTTAATATATTTGGTATTTTAATACATTTCTGATTAGTGATCCTTTGTAGGTTGCTCATAATCTCTCTGTGGAGGCTTTCAACATCTCTTAATCCTGTTGATCTTTTAGTGTGAGTTTTGCCCTGGGAAACTTGGTGGACAACTATGATGTAATAATTTATGCTCTTCAATTCTGGAAAATTTTATAATATGATTTCTTTAATAACATAAGCTCCATTTCGTCTTTCACTTTGAGGCCTTACTTCCCTGTTCTAAGATCAGTTAATCAGCAGCCTTAGTTATAACTGCACAGTTTCTTGGTTATACAAGACAACAAACTCGAAGTCTCAGCAATTAGGACTTGGAATCTTCTTGTGGACCACAATTCTGCTTACCATATCTCTACTGAATTTTTCTTTACTTCTCTCATATTTTTACTTCCAAGACCACCCTGAATGTGGGGTCTTTTTAAAAAAAGTATAGTTCTCTTATTTTGTTGACACAGTATCTTCTCTATTTTCTGAGGATCTCAGTACTGTGTGTGTGTGTGTGTGTGTGTGTGTGTGTGTGTGTGGTTATTTTAACTCTTTTGCTCCCTGCATTATTTCCTTTTCAATCAAGTTTTTCTTTGATGTTGTTTGTTGGGTGTTTGTCTTTCACGTAGGTTGCTATCCTGCTATCCTCAAATGTCTGGGGACCATCTGTTCCTTTTCAGAGTAAGGGTTGTTTTTTCTTATCACAGTTACCCGCCTTTATGTCTATTGTCTCTGTGATGAAAGCCACTCCTTATTCCTCCAGATTATGAGCTTCCTAGTCTGGAGCGGGAGGCAGGGTGAGTAGTCACTGCTCCACACCCAAGCTTTTACCAATTCTCCTACATTTAGCCTTGTGCCTGTTCCCCTCTTCTCTTACCTAATGTCCCCTGCTTCTCTTACTTAATGACCGCTTCTCTTACCTAATGACACCCTGGGACCTCCCTTCTAGGGTCCTAAGGGAAAGCCCTTGGCTTTTTTTTTTTTTTTTTTTTTAATTTCCAGGACTCGTTCCTCTTAGGCACCTAGTTGTTCCTTCCTTCATTCTGCGATTTCTGTCTTTCAAATTCTTTTTCTTCTTCTATCCTCTATTACTTGATTTAGAGTATTTATATCTTTTTGTAAACTGTTTTCCTCTTCTTTTTGTGAAGATTTGTGGAATTTGAGGAGATGGAAGAGGTAAATGAGTTTTATCAACCAGCTACTTTTTTTTTTTTTTTGCCTCTTGAGTACCTAGGACTAAAGGCACATGCCACTGCACCCAGCTAATTTTTGTATGCTTTGTAGAGACGGGGTTTCGTCATGTTGCCAAGGCTTGTCTCAAACTCCTGAGCCCAGGTGATCTGCCTGCCTTGGCCTCCCAAAGTGCTGGGATTACAGGCATGAGCCACTGCACCAGGCCTCAACCAGCTACTTTTAAAAAGAAAACTGTATTCTATTTTGTAGTTCGCTTTTTTCCAATAATAACATAAACATTTCTTGAAATCATTAAAACCGTGAACAATAATGTTTTAAAATAACTTCTACTGGCATCCAGAAATGCTTATAATGTTATTTTGTGTAGATATAATAATTTAATAAGTCCTCTCTTTAATGTACATTAAGACTGTTTCAGTTGTTAAAATATTTTTGAAATTATGTATAACACTATGGAGAACATTTCTCAACATAGATCTTTGTATGTTTCTTTAGTATAAAGTCTGGAAGTGAAATTGCTGAAATCAAAGGATATAAAGATTTTTTTAATTAATAAAAAATTTTAAGCATACAAAAGTAGGAATACTAATTTAATAAATGTCTGTGTATCATCACCCCACTCTATGAATTCATGACCAATCCTGTTTTATTTATACCTTTCTCCATAACCTCCTCTACATATTATTTTGAAGCAAATACTTGACATTATTTCATTTCTATAAACATTTCATTGTGTATTTCTAAAAGGTAAAATTTTTTTAATGTTTCATAATATTGGAGATAAATATTTTAAAGAAAATGTTCTCCACTTTGTAGACAGACTTTTCAAATATTAGTTTTGCATGGGTAATATAATCTCATTATTTATTTAAAAGAGTTTCTTCCACTGCCATATAATAGCTATCATGTTTCCCTCCTCAGAAATAGCTAAGATTATCATCACATTATTGTATATTCTTATAGAAATTTTATAACAGCAACTTTGTATTTGTGTTTTCATGTACTCCTTTTGCCTTTCTGCCTTTCTGCATCTTTCTTTTCTTAAAATTCACATTTTACAGCTTTTGTTTCATATTGTAAAATAACCTTCTTGAAAGATTTTGTGAATTTATACTACCAATAACTGTATATCTCATTGATTTGTTAGTGAAAAATGATCATATTTTTCTTATGTTCACTAACTTTTTACAGAGTACTTTGAAAATCGTCTAGGTCTTCTGTTTGATGTTTTTTGGGGTCAAACTATAGTAGGATGAATTCAGGAGATCTAATGCTCTGAGAATTATTACTTTTAGTGCCTGTTATGTCAGTCCTCATTGTCCTTAACCTTTCTTGCCTATTTTGAAAATGAGTATTCTAAAATACTGTCCTTAACCGCTTAACTCCTGAGACATTTCTATTTTGATAAGCCCCTAAAATTTTTTTTGTATATGTTGTGAGGCAAGAATGTCAAGAGATTCCTTACCCTATATAGCTAGCCAGTTGTCCCATTACTGTGTGTTATTCACTGTTACTTTGTAGTTACCACTTAAAATTTTTTATTATATAGTCTCTACAATTATATCTACATTATTTGTCACTTGATCTGCAGTTCCCAGCACAGTGCCTGAAACATAATGATGCTAAAATAAATATTCGTAGAATAAATAAGTAAATAAATTAATTTAAAATTATGCAGTGGTTTTCAAGGGAGAGAAATAAGTTGTGCATAGTTGAACTTTCCCACACATACTATTATACCCTCCTTGCTTTCAAACAACTCCTTTAGAATGCAAAGCAGAAAGCAAGTATCATAGGGAATTATAGATAATTTTCAATGGGAATCCCTAGCAAGGGGAAATGATATTTAGCTGGGCACACACTCTTTGCACAATGAGAACTACAGTATTCCCATTGCTTCTTATTGCTAATATGCTGATGACTCCAAGTCAGTATCTTTAGTTTATGTCTCTCTTTCCTGAGTTTCTGACTTAAATATTCAGATCCCCTCCTAAATATGTATTTGGTTAGATATCTGGAAAACTGAACTTCGTTTTTTCAGTGCCTTAGGCTTACATTTTGGAAGTCATCCTTGGCTCATTCCTCTTCTTCACTCTTTATATAAAGCTGAACTCAAACTAATTGCACTTTAATTTCTCTTAGCTCTATTTACATCTTCCTTATGTCTACTGCTATTATCTTCCTTCAGGCCCTTATCATTTTTGGTTTGGGTTAAAATTTCTTGCTTAGTTCAAGAGTTTCCATCACTACCCTACTCACCTATTTTCCAGAGTGACTTTCTAAAACACAGATCTAATTCATTACTCTCTGCTTACTCTTTAATGACTTCCCATTACCAAAGGTTGGGCTTCAAGCCTCTTAGTATGGCATATGCACCTTTCCTCACTCTAGTCCACCTCTACCTTTGAACTCTACCCCTTAGCCATCATAACCCATCTGCTGTTCTCCAAATATGCCTTCTTTAGCTTCACTGATTTTTAAAATCTTGATCCTTTCTCAAGACTCAGTGGTGTCCTTGAATCCCCTTGCTAGCTTTTGTTCCACCCCATGTGCTCCCATGTACTTCTTGAACACATTATTATTATTATTATTATTATTATTATTACTATTGAGGCAGAGTCTTGCTTTGTCGCCCAGGCTAGAGTTCAGTGGCACAATCTCAGCTCACTGCAACCTCTGCCTCCCGAGTTCAAGCAATTCTCCTGCCTCAGCCTCCCAAGTAGCTAGGACCACAAGTGTGCACCACCATGTCTGGTTAACTTTTGTATTTTTAGTAGACATGGGGTTTTGCCATGTTAGCCAGACTGGTCTCAAACTCCTGACCTCAAGTGATTTTCCCACCCTGGTCTCACAAAGTGTTGGTATTACAGGTGTGAGCCATGGCGCCTGGACATATCAGTGTCATTATTTATTACATTGCACTGGTAGATCCTGTAGCACCATAAAAATCATCTAGTTGTCTGTTGTAGTCTGTGCCATGTACTTCCTGTATGCTTCCACTATTCAAGTATGAGATATTGGATAGCTCCTAAATGTTGGGGCCCTATTTTCTTTACTTTGCAGGCAGCTGCAGGAAGAAGTGCTTTGATGCATCATTTAGAGGACTGGAGAACTGCCGGTGTGATGTGGCATGTAAAGACCGAGACGATTGCTGCTGGGATTTTGAAGACACCTGTGTGGAATCAAGTATGAGTTCTGAGAATAAGTTTATTAGCATGTTGGTTGTGCTACTATTAATACATGTCAATTTTTTTTCTTTTCTTTCCTTTTGTTTGAGACAGAGTGTCACTCTGTTGCCTAGGCTGGAGTGCAGTGGCATGATCATGGCCAACTCCAGACTTAATCTCCTGAGTCCAGTTGATCTTTCCACCTCAGCCTCCTGAGTATCTGGGACCACAGGCATGCAGCACCACACCTGGCTAATTGTTTTTAACCCCATCTCTACTAAAAATACTAAACTTAACCATGTTGCCTAGGCTGGTCTTGAACTCCTGGGCTCAAGCAATTCTCCCACCTTGGCCTCCCAAAGTGCTGGGATTATAGGCATGAACCACTGCGCCACGTCTGTGTCCAAATTTTCATCTACATACCTTGTGTATTAGTTTCCTAGGGCTGCCATGACAAAGTACCACAGACTGGGTGGCTTAGCCAACAGAAGTTTGTTTTCTCACAGTTCTGGAGACTGGAAGTCCAACTTTTAGGTGTTGGCAGGGTTGGGTCCTCCTGAAGACTCCAAAAGAGAATCTGCTCCATGCCTCTCTCCTAGCTGCTGGTGGGTGCTGGCAGTCTTTGGCTTGTGGCAGCACAGCTCCAGGCTCTGCCTTCATCTTCACATAATCTGTGTCTCTTCACATAGTCTTCTCTCTGTCTGTGTCTATGTTTAAATTTTCCCTTTTAATAAGAACACCAGTCATACTGGATAAGGCCCACCCTAATGACCTCATTTTACTTAATTATCTACAAGTAATTTTTTTTGAAACAAAGACAGAAATGAAATAGTCTGTCATTTCTACTTCACTAGTTAGCTAGAATGTTCTACAATGAGAAATATCCATGAAGCAAAATGTTTTGTTTTTGCTAATTTTTGTTAAGATTTTAAAAATTTGTTAAATTTCCCCTGTTTGATATCAGTTATTCTCATTGGCTCTTTCTTTCTTTCTTTCTTTTTCTTTCTTTCTTTCTTTCTTTCTTTATACTTTCCTTTTTCTCTTCTTAGACTGTATGTCTATAGTTATTAAATCCAAACCTTTTTTTTTTTTTTTTTTCCTGAAACAAAGGCCGGATTACAGTGGCACAATCTTGGCTCACTGCAACCTCCACCTCCTGGGTTCAAGCAGTTCTCCTGCCTCAGCCTCCCGAGTAGCTGGGACTACAGGAGTGCTCTACCAAGCCCAACTAATTTTTGTATTTTTGTTGGAAACGGGGTTTCACCATGTTGGCCAGGCTGGTCTTGAACTTCTGGCCTCAAGTGATCCCACAACCTCGGCATCCCAAAGTGCTGGGATTACAGGTGTGGGCCACTGCACCTGGCCTCGGCAAGTAATTTGGAACCATTTCTAAATAAGATCACATTCACAAGTAATGGGGGTTGGGATTTCAACGTCTCTTTAGGGGACACAATTAAACCTATAACACCTATACACGGTCTTATTATCATTTCCCCCTTAACAATGCTAAATACAGAATTCACGCTTTATTTAACCAAGGTTGAGGAATAACAGGCTATGGTAAATGAAATGCTGTATCATTACATACGTTTCAGTGGAGTTTTACTATGGCTGAAGTTCAACATCTTGTTTGTTTCATTCGCAGTGGTTCTCAAACATCAAGGTGCATAAAAGTCACTTGGAAAGCTGGTGATTCTTGATCATTCTGATGCCAGTATTCCACAGGGCACAATTTGAGAAATGCTATTCTCTAGGTGGAAAAGACAGCTTGCAATGTTTAATTCCCTAAATAATCTGGGAAGGTGGTGGAGGGGGGTGCCTAGTGGTTGGAGGAGAGTGAAGATTAGAAGAGTAGAGTTCTTTACTTTATGTTCCCTGAAAAGGGCAAGAGGGAGAGGATAACCCAGTATAGATAGAGATCTGTGTTCCCTTTACTTAATCTCAAAAAACCTTTTCTTTCTATGTAAATGAGAAATGCTGGAGAAGGAAGAAATCTATATATAACTGAGGTGGACCAAGTTACCTATTGAGAGTGTTTGTCTCAGAACAAGGCTGACGTTGATTTTAGTCACTGTTTCCTAGCAGGTGGCAGCGCCAAGCCACCTTCCTCCGGCCTCTTGCTGCTTTTAGCAATGGGATTTATTGAAACTGTTCTCATCCTAAGTCCATAGCCTGGGAGAACCCCCGAGGCATGGGTGGTAGCTGCTTTGTCATTGCTGTCACTTTCCACTGAGAGGTACCTTGACCTGCCTACATTCTCAAAGACATGACTGTGCTCCTGTTACTTCTGTTGTCACCTTTTCTTCCTTGCTGCTTGTCCTTAGACAAGGCTGGGCAAAGCTGCTCTTGGGTGGCAATATCAGTCAGGGCCAGTGATTCTTCACTTTGGGGAGCTCCTGCTCTTGGGTGGGAATAGGAGCCGTGTTCAGATCTTCTTCAAGCTCACAGTGTACCTGCTAAGTAAACCTGGGTTGTGGTTTATAAAGCTGCATTTCTCTCTGCCACCTAGCTAATGAAGAAAAGTGGTGGTTTACCCCTCATTTGGCATTATGTATTTTCATTTATTAATACAGATAAATGAAATTCTTGGTTGTATTATTTGATTGTTGTATTATACAATCAAATAATTTGATTGTATTATTTGATTGTATTATTTACAATCAAGAATTGTATTGTATTATTATATTTGGTTGTATTATTATAATATAGCAGTAAATAAATGAAATTTGTGTATTTTATATTGGAGGCTTAAATGCTCAGAACTGAACTGTATCGTTTTACAGCTCGAATATGGACGTGCAATAAATTTCGTTGTGGAGAGACCAGATTAGAGGCCAGCCTTTGCTCCTGTTCAGATGACTGTTTGCAGAGGAAAGATTGCTGTGCTGACTATAAGAGTGTTTGCCAAGGTAAGCAGGAGTATGTTGACTCATTTGCGCCTGCAAGTTCAGAGGAACTCCGTGAGTTTCCTAGAGCTATGCTAGGCTGCAAAAATCAAAACAAGTCAGAGAATCTTTAGTTACTCCATGTAGAAGAAAAGATCAAATGCATTTACTGTGGGCTGAAATGTGGTTTGTAACCACAGAGGAGGAGAACTTACAGCATAGATATAGAAGAGAGATCTTAAAATTCCTTGTCTGTAAGGCAAAGTCTTTTCCAATCCAATGACCTTGCCAGATGCAGTTGTAGTTTCAGACACTGAATAGCAGATCCTAAAGTTAAAATACAGGCAATGAGGTTTTCTAGCTCAGATATCATCTTGTTAAGCCAATGTTGTTATTGCCAAAACAAATGTGTCCTCAATGGTTTAAATTGCTAAGTATCCTCACGGAGTTAATGTAGAGTCAAGATTAGGATTCAGGTTATTCAACTCTTTATTCTACCCACTCCCTACTTTATAAGTGACTTTATAAAAAAAAATGTGTTATTCTACCCACTCCCCACTTTATATGTGACTTTAAAAAAAAAAATCATCAATTCCTCCAAACATCTGATGAAATTTATGAAAAATGCATATATACATATATCAACCAAATTTCTTCAAGCTATCAATCCCTTTTTATAACCTCACACCAAACTGAGCTGACAATTTTAATACTTTTGACAAAAAAAGATTAGGTTGAATTCTGATTTCTGAAATTGGATGAAAATATTATAGTAGAAACCTTAACTATAATCTACTAATAGAAAATAAGTTGTGTACCAATGGATGAATCAGTTTTTATACAAAATATAATTAAAAATCACCTGAAACGGGTTATTAGAAAAGTCTGAAATGGTAACTCCTTTTAAAAAATAATAATTACTCAATATTTAATACTCAATACTGCATCATTTCAAAATTTCTTTAATTTCACAAGGCAAGTATAGGTTCTAGTCTGCTTCTTTCTCTAATAAATTCACTGACCATATTACCTCTGACCTCTCTGGTCTCCCTTCTTCTGTTCCAATTTGGTAACTTTTAACTTTTTAATCTCAAGATGGATGCTTAGGCCATGTGGTATTTTTTTTTTTTTTAACTGAATTCACTGGTTACTCTGATGGAGTTAATGTAATCATTTCAGTTTATTTTTTAAAACAAATATAAATGTTTTCTCATTCTGAGAGTTAACACTTTATATTTTAAATGTTAAATGTGCCTACCAGCTTTTAGAATTAAAAAAGGCTATATGATTTTTGTCAAAATTGCATCTTTTGAGAGTAGTTTGAAAATTTTTATCGAAATTTTATCTTCCGAGAGTAGTTTGAGAGAATTTGAATCATTTTTGTTTGAGAAACCAGCTAATTACTTTTATATTTTGTTAAGTTTAGAATTTCTAAAAACGTTATGATAAATTTCTACCACATACAGAGGTAGAGAGAATATGATGATGTTTTCTCTCTAAGTCCATCAACTATTTTCAGCAGTTATCAATTCATGGCCAATCTTGTCTCACATTGACAAAGTATAATTTTGAATATAAAATGAACATGTCAAAGATTTACTAACTCATTTATAAGATAATCAACCAGAATTAAAGCAGGTTCAAAGAGAATAAGAAACTAAGCTACTAAATTGTATATATAAGACTGAAAGAATGTTGGAATAAAATCACTAGACTCATATCTTTTGGTGGGACAGAAATGAATTGCATTTCTGTAGGACAATTTATTTCCTATCAGGTATGAATCAGTTATATTGTTATTTGTTTTCTACTAGTTATTTATTACTCCCAAATAAACAACTTGTAAAATGAATAATAAAGAGTAAACTGGATAAAGATACATACCCCGTGATAATTGGATAATATATTGTTGGGCTTTTTAGATAATTCCCAGCATGACATTAAAATGAAGTCTAATGATCAGTCCTCTTGCCTATTTCCAACTTTTAGATTTTTTTCTTTAACAAAATATGCTCATCATTGCCAGCCTCTCTTCCATAATTTTACATAGTTTCAAAGCAAAACCAAGAGTATCATTCATCTAAAATATGTATTTAGCTACATATTTTAAGTACGTATCTAAAAAGATAAAGATAATTTCCATCAAGAGGCACATCATGCCTGCAGGTGTGTTTTTTGGGATATGTTAGCCATTGATAAGCATTGCCGAGATCCACTAGGCGTTGCAGATGGTGACAGTCATAGTCTGTCATTTCTACTTCACTAATGAGCTAGAATGTTCTACAATGAGAAATATCCATGAAGCAAAATTTTTTGTTTTTGCTAATTTTTGTTAAAATTTTAAAAATTTGTTAAATTTCCTCCATTTGATATCAGTTATTCTCACTGGCTATTTCTTTCTCTTTTTTTTTCTTGATACTTTCCTTTTTCTCTTCTTTAGACTGTATGTCTATAGTTATTAAATCCATTTATTCTAGCAGTTGGGAAAATATTGTTCTTGAGGCAAAAAACATTATCAAGAAAAAGAAGAAATATCTTTTTTTCATCTAAAAGGGGTTTTCATCTAAAACCCCTTTGGGGCTGGGTATGGTGGCTCACATCTGTAATCCCAGCACTTTGGGAGGCCAAGGTGGGAGGATCACTTGAGGTCAGGAGTTCAAGACCAGCCTGACCAACATGGTGAAACCCTGTCTCTACAAAAAATACAGAATTACCCGGGCATGGTGGCGCATGCCTACCATCCCAGTTACTTGGGAAGCTGAAGCAGGAGAATCGCTTGAACCAGGGAGGTGGAGGTTGCAGTGAGCCGAGATCACACCATTGCACTCCAGCCTGGGCAACAAGAGTGAAAGTCCATCTCAAAAAAAATAAAATAAATAAATAAATAAATAAATCCCCTCTGTTTCTCTTGGTAAAGATAGACTTCCTGGTATTCAGTTAGTACAGATTACTGGTCTCTACAAGTCACTAGAGACACTGCCTTTGCCAACAACTGAAAATGCACTTTACATGTTTTAGAAGAAATTAGTCATGGAACTAACAGAAATTAAGTAGTTGCTTCTCATTTCTTGTCTGTGGTGCAGCAAGTATAAAGATTTCGATCTTATGCTTTTCAGGAGAAACCTCATGGCTGGAAGAAAACTGTGACACAGCCCAGCGGTCTCAGTGTCCAGAAGGGTGAGCATGACGGATACAGGGATTTTTATCCTCCTTTAACAAAGGTGCACATAAGAATGTAGTTAGTTCAGACGCGGAGTAGAATTTCCTCCACTTAATGTACATTTCAAAACAGAATAGTTCACAAAGGATTAGATTTCTTGTGGGTTCCAAGTTCTAATGGACTTTTGTTTGCTTTACTTTTTACAAAGCCCTTTTATATTAATTTATTATATTCATGTTTTACAACGACGACTTTATTATGTTTTTGTCTTTGAGACAGGGTCTCGCTCTCTTGTCCAAGCTGGAGTGTAGTGGTGCAATCACAGCTCACTGCAGCCTTGACCTCCCAGACACAGGTGATCCTCCCCATCTCAGCCTCCTGAGTAGCTGGGACTACAGGCATGCCACCATGCTTGGCTAATTTTTTATTTTTCTCTCTCTCTCTCTTTTTTTTTTTTTTTGTACAGATGAGGTTTCACTAGGTTGCCCAGGCTGGTCTCAAACTCTTGAGTTCAAGTGATCCACTCGCCTTGGCCTCCCAAAATGCTGAGATTCCAGGCATGAGCCACTCTACCCAGCCACAGTAATGACTTTTAAAAATTAGTTGGAATATTAAATAAGTAATATTCCAAAGGTCTTGTGGTCAGGATTGAAATTAGCTTGAAATTACTTCTGCCAGAACTCCTTTTCCTTTTTTAAATAACTTAATTCCTGCCTTCTTTTTTTAAATAAAGATAGGGTCTCGCTGTGTTGGCTAGGTTGATCTTGATCTCCTGGCCTCAAGCAGTCCTCCCTCCTGGGCCTCCCAACATGTTGGGATTACAGCCATGAGCCACCATGTCTGGCCAGAACTCTTTTCTATTTTACATCTTGGTGCCTCAAATTTCTTCTTGTTAAGAGCAGGGAAAGAGATTTGTGCAGGCCTTGAAATGAAAGGAGGTCTTTGAAGGGTGGATGAGGAGAGCTTTGTCAGGGGGCATAGGTGATGAACATGTGAGGTGACACTCCTGCCCCACCTCTCCCATGCATCTTTTCCACACGTTTATCATGGCTGCTTCGCTGACTGCCGGGGCCTGGAAATGTGCATCACCTCAAACCAGCACGGATTCCCCATTTCTCCATCCACCCCTCTGCCCTTCACACTTTTCTGGACCAAGTAAGGGAGAATGGTGGAAGGGTGGATGAAAAAGAAATGAATACCTGGCTTTAGGAGGAATTGGTAAAGGCAGTTTTTAAATTTAAGTATTATTATTATTATTATTATTATTATTAAGAGATAGGGTCTCACTCTGTCACCCAGGCTGGAGTGCAGTGGCATGATCACAGCTCACTACAGCCTCAATTCCTGGACTCAGGCTATCCTCCCATCTCAGCCTCCCAAGTATTTGAGACTCTAGGCACGGGCCCCCACACCCAGCTAAACATTATTTTGTATTTTTTTGTACAGACAGGGTCTTACTATGTTGCCCAGACTGGACTCAAACTCCTGAACTCAGGTGATCCTCCTGCCTTGGCTTCCCAAAGTGCTGGGATAACAGGCATGAACTACTGTGCTGGCCAGTGGAGGCATTTTTTGTTTCAAGACAGGGTCTCATTCTGTTGCCCAGGTTGCAGTGCAGTGGCGTGATCATGACTCATAGCAGCTGCCACCTCCCAGGCTCAAACAATTCCCTCACCTCAGCCTCCCAAGTAGCTGGGACTACAAGCATGTGCCACCATTCTCAGCTAATTCTTATGTTTTTTGTAGAGACAGTGTTTTTCCACGTTTCCCCATCTGATCTCGAACTTCTGGGCTCAAGGGATCTTGTCATCTTGGCCTCCCAAAGTGCTGGGATTACAGACATGAGCTGCTGTGTCTGGCCCAGTGGAGGCATTTTTAAATAGTGTTATTTCATTTCGAAAAGGAGTATGGTTAATGTGCCTGTTTTTCTTCCGTGCTACTTTGGTTTGTAGCTCAGATTCAGCTGCTCTCTTCCCACCTTGTGGGTGGAAGAGCAAAGGATTAGAATAAAATGAGAGAAGTTAGAGTCCTGATTTTGCCTGTGGGTCTTTTGCACTGGTCACTTCTCTGAGCTTCATCTATGAAATTGAAATAATAACAATGCCAGGATCAGACAATTTCATGTGAGAATTAAATGACCTAAAGCAAGGGAATATGCTTGGTGAGTTATCAAGCAGTAGGTTAATTTTAGTTCTAGTGCATGGTGCATAGTAGGTACTCAAGAAATTGTTACTATTTTTCTAGTGAAATTTTTCTGTAGTCACTTGTTTTATTGGATGAACCTGATACTTGAATCTATTAAGGTGTGCCCATGGTATTTTCTCTTGGTTCAAATTACCCTGTCAATTCATCTCTGAAAAGCATACTAATACCGGTTAACATTCATATAGTTCTTATTATGTACCAATATGTACATTGCACAATAGTCATCTTACATATTAGTCCTTATAAAAACCCTTTGGTTCTATTATCTCCATCCTCATTTTACAAAGAATGAAATGGAGGCAAAAGCTGTGAAATCACTTGCCCAGTGCTGCATTGCTAGTGGTTGCTGGAAACAGGAAGCAAACCCAGGCAGCAAGGTCCCAGAGTCTCTGTGGCATAACGCTCCCTCAAGTCGTAGGCTGAGCCCGTGATGCTGTGCGATTCACCAGAAGAAGGGGTAAGGGCCTGAATAAGGGGAAGAATTGTTTGAGGCACCAAGAATCCCTCACCTGTTGATAACCGGGAGGAGAGAGACATTAGGTGAGCAGGAAGGTTTTCACTAAAGTCTTTGTAAAGAGTCTCAACAAACCTAGATGACTAAGCCCAAATGATTAGTTAGAATGGTCTTCTCCAAACTGGCAAATCACTGTCCCCCTGAGGATTTGAGAGCTGGAGCAGCATCCCAGAGAAATTACAGGACTGATTTGGCAGCCTTGATGCAAGGCAAGACTAGAAAGGAACGTGGTGAAGAAAGGGGTGGTGGTGGTGGTCAGTAGGACACTGACCATCACCTACAATCCCCTCATTATCTTTATTCCATTGAAGTCATTCCTGCCTATACCTTCCATCCCTGCAAGGAAAATGGACAATGATGATTCTGCTCACCATGAATAATATTTGCTGGTAAAAATTTTATAGTGGCTAAAGACATTACATAAAACCCTCTTGCCAGACATTTATGCTAGTATTCTCTTTGCTTGTTTGCCTTACTATTTTGTTAGTGATCATAGCATAATAAGGAGCTTAGACTCTTAAATCAGACAGATGTGAGCCAATAGCCTAGCTCTGCCCCTACAGGTGGTGGGATACCTTGGTTAAGCTACCTGATCCTAGTGAAATAACAGATCGGAGATGACAGTTCTTGGCATGTAGTGAGCTCTTACTCAAGCTTCATCACAGGCAATGAAAATAATATGGATGCAATGTTCAAATTTTTTAGCAATCAGAGAAATAAAAATGAAAGGAAGATACAACTTTTACTCCATGAAATAATCAGTACATCGTGATTTGTGTATATAAAGTCCCAGCTACCTGTCTTGTGTATGAAAGTACTGTATAAGTTAATATCTACTGTTGGGAATGAATTGTGGCAATATTTTAGTCTCCTTTTAAAGTTTTTCGTAAGACCAGGAAATGTGATCTTTATGAATTTATCTTTAGGAAATAATTAAGGATGTTTTAGCTACAAGAAAGTTCGTATCAGCAGAATGTAAAATGCACTTTCTAGTTAGCTTGGACAGGCAAGCTGGCCATTAAAAAAGGGGTGCATTGGATCTTTGGATTCCACTCTTGATCCCACAGACAGTTGACCCTGTCTTTAATCTTCAAAGTTATTTTAATGGCATATTTATGAATATAAAATTTTTAATCAGAGTTATGTTAATGAGTTTATGAAAAAAATAAATACTTTCTCATGCAAATTGCACTAGGCCACTTTAATTTCTTCATGAATTTTCTGCACACTGCAGTTCAAACAGTCCCAGTTTTCCATTTTTATTTTTAAATTGAGGTATCCTACAGTTCATATACATTGAAATGGTCCTATCTTAATTGTATAGTATAATGCAATTTGGAAATTCACTAAGTGATGTAACTTACTAATATAGAATATTTCCAACATATAGAATATTTCCACCATCCCAGAAAGATACCTCATGTCCCTTCCCATTGCTTACTTCCCAAAGACAATCACTATTGTGATTTCTACATCATATATTCCTGTTTTAGAATTTATGTAAATGAAGTTAAACCACAGGCTCTCTTAGGTCTGGAAACCTAATAACTTTCCAAATTGGAAAGTACTCAAGTGCCCGTGGACAGTAGAATAAGTTCTGGTTTATTCATTCACTGGAATATTAGACAGTTATGAGAATGAATGATCCATAATTACTTGCAACAATATGGAGGAATCTCAAACATAATGTCGAGTAAAAGAATTGAGACTCAACAAAATGCATACTGTATGATTTTATTTGCATATACATGTAAGTACAAAAATAGACAAAGATAACCTATGCTGTTGGAAATCAAGATACTGATCATTCTTGGTGGGGTGTGGTTTGGAAAGTTTAGTGACCACAGGAAGCACAAGCATCCTGATAATATTCTGTTTCTTTATGTGGGTGATGACTACACAGTGGAGTTCAGTTAATGAAAATTTATCAAACTATACATCTGTGAAATGTATGTGTGTATAACAGAAGCAAAATTTTATGCCAGGCACAGTGACTCGTGCCTGTAATCCCAGCTCCTTGGAGGCCAAGGCGGGTGGATCACTTGAGGTCAGGAGTTGGAGACCAGCCTGGCCAACATGGTGAAATCCCATCTCTACTAAAATTTAGCCGGATGTGGCAGCGTGCACCTGTAATCCCAGCTACTTGGGAGGCTGAGGCACGAGAATTGCTTGAACCCAGGAGGTGGAGGCTGGGTGACAGGGTGAAACTGTGTCTCAAAAAAAAAAAAAAAAATGACAATGTCTGGCTATGGCCCAAAAGTTACCCAATTATTTCACCTTAAACACAGGTCTAAAAAAAAAAGATTGCAATGCTTTTGAGGTAAATATAACTATCCAAAACAATGGACAAATTTTGTTTCTCATTTTCAGGTTTGACCTGCCACCTGTTATCTTGTTTTCTATGGATGGATTTAGAGCTGAATATTTATACACATGGGATACTTTAATGCCAAATATCAATAAACTGAGTAAGTCTTCTATAACTAGTGGCATGAAAATGATAAAGACACCTAGTTAGTCAATCTCCAGATGATGCAACTTTCTTTCTGACTTTTAACCTTAGTGGTTTGTCTTAGCCTAGATCCTCTCTGACTTTACCACATGGTATCTACTTTCAATCGGAAGTGTATTTTCACACTTGCTGGCTTCTCCTACCTTTATTTTGGTAGCATGGTCAGCCTTTTGTTTGTTTATTTTGATTTGTTTTGTATTCGAATGTAACTTCTGTCCTCTGGAAATCTATTCGTGTGTACTGCCTTGAAAGGGATGTTTGTCAGACCTGGGTTCTGGGTCTTAGCAAGGTGGATATAACAAGAATCGGATCCTGAAGGCAGGTGGGCTAGACAGATCCAGCACCTCCCACCACTTCAGCAGATGTCAAGTCCAGGATCTATTTCTGGTCCTGGAATTAAACTGCCTACAATCTGACTCTACTAATTGCTAGCTGTGAGGTCTCAGACAAGTTTCTTTCATCTTTTAGTGCCCTGGTCTCTTCATCTGTGAAATGGTGACTTCCCATCTGATAGGATTACTGTGAGAATGTACAGGTAGCTTTCAAAAAATAGCTATTTGATATGTGGCATATGATGGGTGGATTTAACTAATTGTTATAATTCTTTTATTATCAATTTTACTATGTTATACTTCTGTGTTAGGACACTTAGCCTTCACATAATTTAATAAAAGTAGTAATAAAGAGAAGTTGAGGCTGGACATGGTAGCCAGTGCCTGTAACTCTAGCACTTTGGGAGGCAGAGGCTAGAGCATCCCTTGAACTCAGGAGTTTGAGACCGGCCTGTGCAACACAGTGAGACCTCATCTCTATTTAATAATAATTTTTTTTTTAAAAGAGAAGTTGAGTACCCAATGACACAGTGCTAAGAAGTGGCATAGTTAAAACCAGAGAACTAACTCCAGGGCCCACACTTTTCACTGCCCTGCAATTCCTCTCTTTCTTCTCCCTCCTCTGAGGCCCTGTTTTATATCCCCAAAGTTCTCAAATTTTCTGTCATTTTTTACTGGTTTATTGTTTTTCTTTTTCTGCAAATTATTAAAAACAGCTGTTTGACTCTGGGTAAGTCCATTGACTTTTCTTGGCCTCAGTTTCCTCATTTGTAAAACAAAATGTCTAGATCTGATGATTTCTACTGTTAATTCGAGCCCTAAAATGCCGTTGTTGTAGGAAGATAGACCACTACTTCCAACAACTCAAGGTGCATTGTTTTTTCAGCTTCTCCCTCATTCCCTGAGGCAGATCTTTAGCAAAGAGATTGTTTTCCAAATCCAGGACCTGCCACTTTTCTGCTGAGTCATTTTGTCCTAGAAAGTTAGCTAACACTTCTCAGTTTCTATCTTCTTACCTAAATTTGTCTTGATAAACTGGATATCAAATCTGATGTCAAAAGGGAATTTGACTAGCCAGGGTGAACTGAACCTTTTCTAAAGTAAAATTCCTTGATTTGGTCATTCCATTGAGAATTAGAAATGACATCAATGTAATACAGCCACTAAGAGCTTTCTGCTTTTGATGCTTAAAATATTTTAAAACATTTAAAAAAATTTTAGTCATGTAAACAACATCTCAATCCTCAAATGTGTGAAGCTATGATCATCTAGGCCTACCTAGGCAAAATAGGGCTGTTAGTTTCTAGGAGGCCTGATTAAGAATAGATGTGGTAGGTAGGGGGACATGTTCTCAGGACATCCTGAGGCTGTTTTGAGGGAAAATTAAAAAAGGATAGATGTGGTTAAATAGGATTCGGATTATGTTAGCCTTGAATTGAGGTATGTGACAGCAGGCATTGCTGTCACAACAATAATAAGGGAGTCCAAGGCCCCAACTCTAGGGTTTCATCAAGCTGCTTGAGTTGGGCCATCATGGTGGTGTAAACCAAGCCTAAACAATATCACAGAGCAGTGAGTCATATGAGTGACTATTAAGTGGACAAGGAAGTGGCTCTCTGAATCACACTTTAGTCAGGCAAGAACTTTGTCTTGTCTTAGTGCAGGTGGCAGCAGACAAAGAAGGGCCAAGATTAGGAAGCTGTCAAGTAGGATAGAAGTGATTTGGCCTGTTTAGAAGACAGCCTTCCTGAAAAGTTAGATGGGAAACTGTGGATCAGATAAGACTAGAAGTAGCACGTAGACAGCAAAGATCCAGCTGGTGACATATGCAGAGTTTCAGAGATTAGAGTTTGCAAGTTTGGCATTCATGAACAGCAGAGCTCTTATATTGGCCACAGCAGATATCATTTGCTGTCTGCTTTTTAAATTTTGTTAAGAATGCATAACATGAGATCTATTCTCTTAACAGATTTCTCAGTGTACAATGCAGTATTATTATCTATAGGCACAATGTTGTACAGCAGATCCCTAGAATTTACTTATTTTATAAAACTGAAATTTCATATCCATTGATTAACGATTCCACATTTCCCCCTTACCCAGCCCCTGGAATCCACCATCCTATTTTTTGCTTCTATGGTTTTGACTATTTTAGATAACCTCATGGAAGTAGAATCATACAGTGTTAGTGTTCCTGTGACTAGCTTATTTCACTTAGTATATCTTCAAGGTTCATCCATGTTACCACATGTTGCAAGATTTTCCTCTTTTATTAAGGCCAAATAATATTCCATTGTATGTATATGCCATCTTAAAAATCTATTTATCTTTTGAAAGAGAAATAGATTGTTATCATATCTTGGCTCTTATGAGTAGTGCTGCAGTGAACATGGGAGTGCTAATCTCTTTGAGATCCTGATTTCAACCCTTTTGGATAAATACTCAAAAGTAGAATAGCTGGATCATATAATTCTATTTTTAAGTTTTTGAGAAACCTCCATACCATTTTCCATAGCAACTATACCACTTTGCCTTTCTATCAACAGTGTACAAGAGTTCCAATTTCTGCATATCTTCATCAACACCTGTTTTTTTTTGTTGTTTTTTTGATACTAGATACCCTAACAGATGTGATATGATATCTCATTTTCTAATTTTTATTTTTAATTATTATTATTATGTTAGAGATGAGGTCTTGCTATGTTGCCCAGGCTGGCCTCAAACTCATGGGCTCAAGTGATCCTCCCATCTCGGTCTCCCAAAGTGCTGAGATTGCAGGTATGAGCCACTGTGCCCTGCCTCGTTTTGGTTTGATATGCATTTTTCTGATGATTAGTGACATTGAGCATCTTTCATACACTTATTGGATATTTGTATGTCTTTAGAGATGAACAATATCTTTCTTCTTTGAAGAAATATCTATTTAGGTCATTAGCCCATTTTTTAATGAGACTATTGGATTTTTTGCTATCAAGTTGTAGAAGTTCCTTATATATTTTGGAACTTAACTTCTTATCAGATATATGGTTTGAAAGTGTTTTCCCCCATTTCATATGTTGCTTTTTCATTTTATTGATTGTTTCCTTTGCTGTGCAGAAACTTTTTGGTTTGATATACTCCTACATGTATATTTTTGCTTTTGTTGCCTGTGCTTTTGGCATCGGGTTCATGAAATCATTGCCAAGACCAATGTCCTGCAGATTTTCCCCTATGTTTCCTTCCAGAAGATTTACAGTTTCAGGTCTTACTTTTAAATCTTTAATATACTTTGAGTTGATTTTTGTATATGGTATAAGATCAGAGTTCAAGTTCATTTTTCTGCATATGGATATCCAGTTTCTGACATCATTTGTTGAAGTAACTATTCTTTCCCATTGTGTATTCTTCTTGGCAACCTTTTTGAAGATTGGTTGACCATATACGCATGGATTTATTGATTTATTTCTGGGCTCTCTATTCCATTTTTTTTTTTTTTTTTTTTTTCCTGAAATAGGCTCTCACTCTGTCGCCCAGCCTGGAGTGTGATGGTGTGATCTCAGCTCACTGCCACCTCTGCCTCCCAGGCTTAAGCGATCCCCTCAGCCTCCAGAGTAGTTGAGAATACAGGCACTGCATGCCACTATGACTGGCTAATTTTTGTATTTTTTGTACAGATGTGGTTTTGCCATGTTGTCCAGGCTGGTCTTGAACTCCTGAGCTCAAGCTTGCCTTGGCCTCCCAAGGTGCTGGGATTACAGGTGTGAGCCACTGAGCCCAGCCTGGGCTCCCTGTTCTTTTTCATTGGTCTATACATCTGTTTTTAAAAACACACTGTTCTAATTACTGAAGATTTTTAATATATTTTGAAATCAGGAGCTTTGATGTTTTCAGCTTTGTTCTTTTTCAAGATTGTCGTGGTTATCTGGGGTCTTAATGAATTTAATTTTTTTTTCTATTTCTGTAAAAACTGTCATTGGGGTTTTGATAAAGATTGCATTGAATCTGTAGATTGTCGTGGGTAATACAAACATTTTAACAATATTAAGTCTTCGAGTCCATGAACATGAGGTGTCTTTCCATTTGTTTATGTCTTCCTTGACTTCTTTTCCCAATATTTCATAGTTTTCATATAGAAGCCTTTCATTTTCTTAAATTTATTTCTAAGAATTTTATTATTTTCAATGTTGATAAATGAGATTGAATAGTTCATTATTAATACATAGAAATGCAACTGATTTTTTATGTTGATTTTGTATCCTGCAACTTTACTGCATTTATTAGTTCTAAAATTTATTTAAAGCTTTTACATATTTAGAGCTTTCAGTAGATAATATCACTTCTTCTGAAAATAGGCACAGATTTACTCCTTTCTTTCCTATTTGGATGCCTTTTGTTTTCTTGCCTAATTGCTCAGGCTAAGAGAGTGGACAGTCTTGCTTTGTTCCTGATCTTAGATGGAAAAACTTGCAGTTTTTCACCGTTGAATAGGATGTTAGCTGTAGACTTTTCATATAATCTTTATTATGTTGAGGTATTTTTTCTATAGCCATGTGCCACCCAACAACATTTCAATCAACAACAGACTGCATATATAATGATGGTCCCATAAATTATAATGGAGTTGAGAAATTCCCATCACCAGCTG